CTGGGAGGAAAAAGAACAACAAGAAAAAAAATGTCTGTATTGTGTTTATCCTGGATTAAAGTTTCACCTGACAACTAATTAAGTAATAGCAAATTAGAAGGTCAAATATGGTTGATATTTTTCACCCATCTAAACAATAACACGAATTCAGGAAGATACATTTCATTTTAATGAATATGGCACCTGTGAAATAGAACAATGCATTCCCTAATGACACATGCATCAACAGGGAGAATAAAACTATTTACCTGCTAAAATAAAATAATGCAAACGCCTCTGGAAGAAAGAGGGCAACTCTGCCAGAAAAGTCTTGAAATTTTTGCCACTATTACCTCTAATATTGGTAGCAATCCTTTATCTATCACAGTGTAAGCTACATTTACGTTACATTTATCCTAGATGGAGAGGCCTTCTTGTTCTTTACAATTATCTGAAAGGAGGATGGACCCAGGTGGGAATTGACCTCTTCTCCCAAGGAACAGCAACAGGACAAGAGAACATGGCCTCAAACTGTGCCAGGGGAGGTTCAAGTTGGACATTAGGAGGAATTTCTTCATGAGGAAGATTGTTAACCATTAGAATGGACTGCTCAAGGAAGTGTGGAGTCACTGAAGGTGATCAATAAATGCCTAGACATGGCACTTTGGTCATGGGCTTGTTGACAAGGTGGTGATTGGTCAAAGGCTGGATTTGATGATCTCAGGGGTCTTTTTGAACCTTAATAATTCTGCAATTTCTACAGTGACCAACTGAAAACATAATTAAAATTTACAAAGAAAACTCCAGACCTGGGAGACAGGATTGAGTTTTACATCCATTCATAGGATAAAACCACCATGTTTTTTCAGGAGTTGTGAGGATGTGAGTAGTGAACACTAAGATGAGGAAACTCAGGCAGGGCTTCTCATGACCTTCCTGAGGTGCCACAGACAGTATCAGACACCACTGGCTCTTCCACCTGATGTCCATGCTGCACAAACCCCTTCCCAACAGCAGGATGCATTTGCACAGCTACATGGAGGCAACAGAGCTCATATTTTGTAACACATGAAACTTTACATTTTAAGCAGATCCAGTTTTACTATTTGAATTAAAGAAGTGGAGAATTAAGGACCTTTCCCAGGAAACGTTTGAGTGAAGCTCCTTCATTCAACCATGACCCTTCTAAATTAACATGGGAAGGACTCCAAGCATGGACACCACAGGTTCCTCAGTCTAAAGAGCTGCCTGTACCTCAGGTTAATTTACTCACATATTATTTACTCATATCCTTTCAGTGTGATTACGGTTCTCCCAGGTAAGTAGAGACATTTAAATTTTTCATTTTCTTTTTATTTCCAAATGTTTACAGACTGTAGCTTGTTCATTAAAGTACTTGCTAAAGCCAACACTTGCTACACTTTATCAACCTCCTCCACAGTTCTTCAGAGTTTTACTCCATCACAGCTCCTTTCTGGGCTGAGAACAAACCACTCCCTTCCCTCTCTGTCAAAACAAATATTCCTGAAAATGAGGATCATTCACCTCACCCTTCAATGGAGCACCCTTAAATGTAAACAGTCTATTTTTCTTCAAAATCACTACTGAAATACAAACACACACAGACTACGTGAGCTTTACTGCAGTTGCACTCTTGACTAATCGCTTTGAGGATTTTCCTTCAAACCCCTAAATCTCCTTTCCCGAGTCAGTACACTGTGTAACTACTCCATGTAATGTGCATTCTTTGATTTGGCTCACTGTTCCTTGGCATATAATTTTTGTTTTATCTACAATAAACTGCATTTTCAAGCTACTGTCACAACCTTTGAGATCTGCCTTTCTTCCTACTGCTCACCATCACTTTTTGGAGCTGCTCTGGAGATATAACCAGAAGAAGTTCAGTCACATTAAAAATCCTCATCCAAATCCACTACCTCAGTTACAAATATGTTGGGCTCCCAAATGAGCCTGAATTAAACTATTCCCATCACACTGCCTTAGCCAGCATCAGATTCTCTGAGTTTAGAAGTACAAATTTGGTGTGGCTGAATTCCGTACACAGAATTCTACAATCCAGTTATGGTTTGGGTTGGAAGGGACCTGAAAAAACAACTCGTTCCAAGCTCCTTGCCATGGGCAGGAACACTCCCCATTATCCCAGGTTTCTCCAAGCCCTGTCCAGCCTGGCCTTGGTCACTTCCAAGGATGGAGGAGCCACAGCTTCTCTGGGAACCTATGCCGGGATCTCACACCCTCACAGGGAACAATTCCTTCCCAATATCCCATCCATCCCTGCCCTCTGGCAGTGGAAGCCATTCCCTGAGTTCCGTTCCTCTATCCTTTGTCCCTCTCCAGCTCTCCTGGAGCCCCTTTAGGCACTGGAAAGGGTTCCAAGGTCTCCCTGGAGCCTTCTCTTCTCCAGGTTGCACAATCCCAATTCCCTCAGCCTTTGGTCACAGACCTAAACATGGCTGCTGGTGGCTCCTCTGAAGCACAGACACAGCCCCATCAGGATGTACTTTTAAATATTTACACATGGGAAAAGCTGAAGGAGAAACAGGTTAAGGGATTTTTCCTAAACTACCAAGTTATGACTGCATTGAAAGGACTGATTTACCAGCCCAAATTTAACTAAGATATTTTGAAAAATCACTGCTGCTAAGACAAATTGCTTGAGGTGTGAGAGGTCAGGCTACCTAGGCAGGCTGTATCCCCCTGCCTGTCTTTAATCTCCTGGCCAGCCATCCACTCACTGCACCATTTCTGTTTCTGAACAGGTTTCCTCCTTAGTTTTCAATCCTTATAAATCTGATCTGTCACTGCAGAATTCCTAATAATATTAGATAAAACTCCACCGATTTCTCTCTGGAATATACTCTTTAATATCTTTTATTTAAGACATGTGTGTGCAATCAATTCCATGGTATTTACTTGTATTACACACAGAGTATTCATCATCTTGACAATTTTTAAAAGTTTTAGAACACCATTTCACTTAACAGTTTGAAAAAAAAAAAAAGGCAAGAGATTTATTTGATGGTTAACTTTGGAACAAGTTATCTGCATTAACTTCCATTGTTTTGGCATAAAGTAGTTCTGTATATTTTACTAACAACAGTGGAGACATGATAAAAGATGTAGGCAGAGAGCCATAAACAGCTCTTGCTGCAATCCACGGTGTTCGTGGAAAGGCATTAATTTTTGGACTTTGATTGGAAGACGTCTCTGTGCTCAGCCACTTGGATTTTGCTAAATACAACCACGAATAAAACCTTGTACCTGAGGAGAACAATTTCTACGGCGGAAAGACCGCTGTAAATCATGTGTAGTATAAACTTGTCCACATGATTGGAATGATATAATGGATATTGGAGTCCCTAACCACCAGCTAATGTTCTTTATGACACTTAAATAAATGACCTGAAAATAAACTAATAACAACACAAAGTCATCTAAACCTGTTCATGTGCATTTCCCAGAAGCATGCTTGGAAAAGACAATGTCTAGTTAGTGCATTTTTTGTGTTTACGTTTTCTCCAGCACATTTCTGCTCCTCCAGACTCACATTAATTATTTTCTGCCGCCTTCCAGAGGTATCTCTCCACCCAGTACTTGCCCAGATCTCAGTCATTTAAAAAATCAAGGGCTTGCAGGACTTCTATACCACCATGATGGCTATAAAGAAACAAGGCTGGAGCAAGAACAGACACAGGCTTGAAAGACCGGCAATAAGGAAGAATGTTTTAAAGTTTTGTATTTTTTATCATGAAGGTGGTGAAACACTACACAGTGTGCTCAGAGAAGCTGTGGCTGCCCCTGGATCCCTGGAAGTGTTCAAGGCCAGAGTGGACAGGGCTTGGAGAAACCTGGGATAATGGAAAGTGTCTCTGCTCATGGCAGGGGGTGGCATGAAATTATCTTTAAAGTCCTTTCTAACCTAAACTACTCTATGATTCTATAAAACCACCTAGAGAGCCACCACAGAAGAGAAGTGGGATTTTCGAGAAGGACACACCATTTTTCTCAATCTTAGTTACAAAACACACTAGTCATGCAAGAAAAATGCTACAACATTCTTATTTTAAATATGGGTGAAGCATTTTATTATTTTTACTAACTTGTTGTAGTGAACTCTTGTACATGTGAAACTTTCCAGATGAAGAATTGTTATCAAAGCTCACAAATATTAACACTTTCAACAGATTCCACAAGGTACTGTCCCTTATATTTAAAAAAACATGGAAAATGTATTACTTTTATGCATAACTCATATATATTTAAACACTGAAAGTTCAGAACAAACAGTGAGGACTTAGATATCTAATTTTAGTACAGCAACTTGTTTTTAAATTTCTTTTATTTATTCAGATTTTTTGAGGCTCTCCAATACATTGAACAGTCAATTTTAAAACTTTATGAAGGCTCTACAAAGAGTAAGCCTTGAAAACTTTCCCTTTTTGCATACTGGGTCTAGATGTTTAGTTAAAAAGACGGGTTAAATATTAAACTAAGTTCATATGTAATAGAAATTCAATATCCTGAAATTCAGAGTTTCAATCTAAATATTTGCTACTGTGAGTAACAGATTTTTTAACTCACAACTTATATATTATATATTTTCTTTTCATTTATGCCATGAAACCCCGCTCTGAAGAAATCCATGTACTTTTCCTTGAAGCAGATGTGTTTTTCCCACACACGTTTCTTTTCTGTAATATGTTGCCATGTTCCACCGTATGTGTTTATTCACTGTGCTTTATTTGCCCTAATGAAAAGTTATTTATGGGGATTGGTTTCTTTTCCATGGCATCAAGAGTCACTTCATGCACCATTTTATTAAAAACAACAACAAAAAAAAGAATGGGAGAGCCATGATGTCACTGCTCAATGAATAGAAACCACATTAGAAAGATGAACTGGAGTGCTGGTTTAGGTTAGACCAAATTACATAACTGCCTGAAGAGCTTGCAAGGATGGATGGTATAAATAAATAGATTTTTAAAAAGTAATAAAAATTG